CAGAAAAATACATGATACAAATGTTATAAATTAAGCTGCAGTTGAGGGAGTAAAATAAGTATTTGATCCCCAAGCAAAACATGACTTAGTGCTTAGGGGAGAAACCCTTGTTGGCAAGCACAGAGGTAAGACGTTTCTTGTAGTTGGTTACCAGGTTTGCACACATCTCAGGAGGGATTTTGGTCCGCTCTCCCCTTTACAGATGTTTTCTAAATCCTTAAGGTTTCTTGGCTGCTGCTTGGCAACTCGAAATTTCAGTTCCCCTCCTTAATTTTCTCTATATGATTAAAGCAATACTAAAGGTCATACTTGCCTGCTCCGTGCAGTGGTTTTTCACAGTGCAGCCTGGATCCTCCTCTTCTAGGGTCCCCTGCTGGCGCTCCTGGCTCCTCTCTTCTGTCGGGTACCCCCATAGCAAGCAGCTTGCTATGGGGCCACCCTAGCAGGCATGTTCCCAAACTACTGCTCTGTGTGCATTCACACATGATGCACTTGGCCTTGCCCCTCTCTTTCCTCATTGGCTGACTGGCTGTGATTGAAAGCAGTGGGAGCGAATAGCTCCCGCTTGGTGTCTCAGTCAATGAGGAAGCAGAGACCTAGGACAGCTGAGGCTGTTGTGCACATTGATGAATTGTTATGTGGCTCAGGTAAGTATTGAGGGGGCTGGGAGCACTGCTGCACACAGAAGGTTTTTTACATTCATGCATTCATTCCTTGTGGCTTTACAATCACTTGAAGGTCTGGAGACTGGCTAGGCCACTCCATGACCTTAATGTGCTTCATCATGAGCCACTTCTTTGTTGCATTGGTGGTATGTTTTGAGTCATTGTCATGCTGGCCCATCTTCAGTGTTCTGGCTGAGGGAAGAAGGTTCTCATCCAAGATTTTACAATACAATGCCCAGTCTATTGTCCCCTCAATGCAGCAAAATTGACCTGTACCTTTAGCAGCCCCAAAGCATAATGTTTCCACCTCCATGTTTGACTGTAGGGATGGTGTTCTTAGGGTCATAGTCAGCATTTTTCTTCCTCCAAACACAGCAAGTCGAATTAATGCCAAAGAGCTCAATTTTGGTCTCACCTGATCACAGCACTTTCTCCCAATCCTTCTCTGAATCATTTGGATGATCCTTGGCAAACTTCAGATGGGCTTGTACATGTGCCTTTTTGAGGAGGGGGACCTGCAGGATTTCAATCCATGACGGCGTATTGTGTTACCAATGATTTGTTTGGTGACTGTGGTCCCAACTGCCTTGAGATCATTCACAAGCTCCTCCTCCTTTTGCAAACAATCGCTCCAACAGTTGTCTCTTTCTCCAAGCTTCTTGCTGATGGTCTTGTAGCCCATTCCAGCCTTGTGCAAGTCTACAGTCTGGTCCCTGATGCCCTTTGACAACTCTTTAGTCTTGCCCAAAATGGTGAGGTTTGAATGAAGAAATAGATTCTATGCACAGGTATCTTTTATACACATGACGAGTTGTCGTTAGCAGCACCTTCTTAAATTGACAGGACTAATCTGTGTACCACATGAGCACATAGCCAGTCTGCGGGAGCCATAATTATTGTTGGTTGGGAGGGGATCAAATACTTATTTTATTCACTGAACTGCAACTCAATTTATAACATTTGTATCATGTATTTTTTCTGGATTTTTTGTTGATATTCTGTCTCTACCATTTAAAATACACCTATGATAAAAATTATAGACCCTTCATTTCTTTGTGGGCACCCTTACACAATCTGCAGGGGATCAAATAATTGTGTGTATATATCTATATATATATATATATATAAATATATCTATATCTATCTATCTGAAGGGCTTCTCCCTGTCACCCAAAACAAAACAAATGCAAACCTTTTCTTGTAGGTATAGTACACACACAGCTCTCTCAGAATACCTCTCTGAGTCCCAGGCCACGAGCGACTCCTTGCTCCAGCCCTGCCCTTTTTGTATCACCTGTTGGTGGACATCAGTGGAGCCCAAACTCTGGTCCGGAACCACCTCTGCCATTGTGGCCCCAAAAACCCGGAGTGGACTCCACCTTACACCTCACCGTATGATCTCATGCGAGGTGACACATATCGTCCATCCAACACTTTGCCGTTCATACTGTCACAATATATATAATATATATATATATATATATATATATATATATATATATACACAGTTGTGTTCAAAATAATAGCAGTGTGTTGAAAAAAATAAATAAAGCTCAAAATCCTTCTAATAGCTTTTATTTCCATACACACAAATGCATTGGGAACACTACACATTCTATTCCAAATCAAAACATGAAGGAAAATATATTAAATTTGTGTTGGTCCTCCAAAAAAATTGAAGAAAAGTGAATATTAGATTGTTCAAAAAAATAGCAGTGTTTCTATTCTTTACAAACTCAAACATTCACTATATAAACTGAAAAATGTTTGAAGACTTTCCTTTTCTTTGAATCACTTAATTAACATTTAGTTGTATAAGCACTGTTTCTGAGAACTGCTGTACATCTGTGTTGCATGGAGTCAACCAACTTCTGGCACCTGTGAACAGGTATTCCAGCCCAGGATGATTGGACTACATTCCACAGTTCTTCTCTATTTCTAGGTTTTGCCTCAGAAACTGCATTTTTGATGTCACCCCACAAGTTTTCTATTGGATTAAGATCTGGGGATTGGGCTGGCCACTCCATAACGTCAATCTTGTTGGTCTGGAACCAAGATGTTGCACGTTTACTGGTGTGTTTGGGGTTGTTGTCCTGTTGGAACACCCATTTCAAGGGCATTTCCTCTTCAGCATAAGGCAGCATGACCTCTTCAAGTATTCTGATGTATTCAAACTGATCCATGATCCCTGGTATGCGATAAATAGGCCCAACACCGTAGTATGATAAACATCCCCATATCATGATGCTTGCGCAACCATGCTTCACTGTCTTCACAGTGTACTGTGGCTTGAATTCAGTGTTTGGGGGTCGTCTGACAAACTGTCTCCGGCCACTAGACCCAAAAAGAACAATCTTACTTTCATCAGTCCACAAAACGTTGCGCTGTTTTTCTTTAGGCCAGTCAATGTGCAAATTGTAACCTCTTCAGCACGTCTTTTTTTCAACAGTGGGACTTTGCAGGGGCTTCTTGCAGATAGCTTGGCTTCACATAGGTGTCTTCTAATTGTAACAGTACTCACAGGTAACTTTAGACCTTCTTTGATCTTCCTGGAGCTGATTGTTGGCTGAGTCCTTGCCATTTTGGCTATTCTTCTATCCATTCGAATGGTAGTTTTTCGCTTTCTTCCACGTCTTTTAGGTTTTGGCTGCCATTTTAAAGCATTTGCGATCATTTTAGCTGAGCAGCCTATCATTTTCTGCACTTCTTTATATGTTTTCCCCTCTCCAATCAACTTTTTAATCAAGGTACGCTGTTCTTCTGAACAATGTCTGGAATGACCCATTTTCCTCAGAATTTCAGAGAGAAATGCACTGTAACCAGCATGTACAACATTGGCTGCCTTCCTTCCTTAAATAAGGGCAATAATTGCCACCTGTTTTTCAAAGAATGAATGACCTCACTAATAGAACTCCACACTGCTATTATTTTGAACATGCCCTTTTCAATTAGTGATTCAATTACACAGAATCAGCAGCATGCATGTCATGACTGTTGGGTCTGTTGGATTTCTATTACTCTACTACACCTGCTAGTAAATTATTTGCCATGTAGAAATATAATTTCTACCAAAAACAGTGATTGATCAGGTTAGTGATGTCTGACTGCTATTATTTTGAACACAACTGTATAATGATTATGTAAAAATTTGAGAAAACATATTTCGAGAATATCCCTAATTCATGTATGGGAAAGACATTTTACTAGGCTGGTTTCATGAAAATATTGTGTGTCTTTTTTCAAATTCAGGGTTTAAATTAAACCCATGGTCAGGCAATGTATATTCAAGTATTTACAACTTCTTAGCTAGAAGTAAACAAGCTTTACAAAATTCCTCACTGTTCTCTGTAGCTGCAGATGCTGTGGAGCAATTAAATCTCAAATTAACAGTGGAATCACCGAAGTTAATTTTTCAGCAGCTCAGCTGTAGCATACCAAATATATGCATGCTTGTTCTGGGGAAGTGACTCACCAGTTAGTGAACCAAAGATGAGGATGACCAATGAAAAGGGAACACCACTCCAGGTCAGCCGGCAAACAGGTGCACTCCCAGCTCACAGTTGATGCATAATGTGAAGGATAGTCCAGATGGCTGAACTACTGAAAACCACTTTTATTGAAGAAGATTCAAATCAAAACAGGCTCAAACATCTAAAAAGCAGCAGAGAAGTATTAAGTTAAGCCGGTATTTTGCTTTATGCTATACTTATAGCAACTCAACTATGACCCATCATATCAACAGTACAAACAAACGGTAACTGCCTCAATCAATGACTGGTCATTCCAGCAAGGAGCATATGGAAGGGTGATGCATGTCAAACAACAACTAAGAAAAGTTCCCAGCTCATCTTACCAACCAGCCTACAACCAACCAAATTATCCTAACAGTTCGTGTTAAAAACAGGGTTTCATTTGCACACACTTGCAAATTTTATATGCGTAAGCTGCAGAGCCTCTTCATGGCACCCCAGTATTCTGCATTTCCTAACCCTATAAAGTTCCTAACTCTAATAAAGTATAGTAGAAGCACATGTATAATAATAGAATGATTGAGGGCAGGTAAGCCTGGAGGGAGCCCACCACTCCTTAACTAGCTGCCGACCGCAGATAGCCAAATGACGGCTGCACTGCGGCCAGCCAGTTCTGGGTGGACGTCATATGACGTCCTCCCAGAACGCGCTCTCCTGCGCGCCCCAGGGGGCGCGCACCCGGCGATCTCCGTGATCGCTGTGTCCTACGGACACAGCTGATCATGTGATGTGGTAAAAGGCCAATCACAGCGGCCTTTTACCACGTGATCAGCGGTTTCCAATGACACGCTGGTCAGAGGGAAATGCAAGTGCCGGTTCTCGGCTGCACTTTCCTCACGCTGTCAGATCGTGAGGAAAGTACTGCCGAGAACCGGCAGTTGTCAGAGCGGGGATCGGCACCGATCATCAGGGCACTGATGATCAGTGCCCTGATGATCGGTGCCCAGCAGTGCCACCCGCAAGTTCCGCCCACCTGTGTCCAGCAGTGTGCCCACTAGCTCCGCCCACCTGTGCCCAGCAGTGCACCCACCTGTGCCCAGCAGTGCACCCACCTGTGCCACTCTGCAGTGTCACACACCTGTGCCCAGAAGTGCCACCTACCTGTGTCCAGCAGTGCCACCCACCTGTGCCCACCCACCTGTGCCCACCAGTGCCACCCACCTGTGCCCACCCACCAGTGCCAACCACCAGTGCAGCCCAGCAGTGCTGCCAGTCAGTGCCACCAGTCAGTGCCCAGGGGTTGTGCCAGTCAGTGCCGCCAGTCAGTGCCCAGCAGTGATGCCAGTCAGTGCCGTCTATCAGTACCCATCATCAGTGTCACCTATCAGTGCCGCCTATCAGTGCTGCATATTAGTGCCGCCTATCCGTGACACCTCATTAGTGCTGTCTATCAGTGCCGCCTATCCGTGCCACCTCATTAGTACTGCCTATCAGTGCCCTTTAGTGCTGCCTATCAGTGACCATCAGTGCTGCCTCATCAACGCACATCAGTGAAGGAGAAAAATTACCTGTTTGAAAAATTTTATAATAGAAACAAAGAAACTTTTTTTTTTCTTTTCTAATTTTTTGCACTTTTTTTATTCATAGCGCAAAAAGTAAAGCGCCCAGTGGCGATTAAATACCACCAAAAGAAAGCTCTATTTGTGAGAAAAAAATTATCAAAATTTCATATGGGTACAATGTTGCATCACCGCGCAATTGTCAATCAAAGTGCGGCAGCGCTGAAAGCTGAAAATTGGCCTGGTAAATAAGGGGGTATAAGTGCCTGGTAGGCAAGTGGTTAAAGGATCATATGCATACATATACTGTTTGTCCAACCCATCCTCATAGCATCAGGTGTAATTAAACAGGATAATCAGCAACAAAAAATAAACCTTGAATCCCTACATGGACAAACAATGAAACCATATAACAAAACCACAATAATTGACTAAAAATGAATTATTAATAAAATGAAAATGTGTATATTATAAACTGTGTATATATATATATATATATATATAACTGTATATATATATATATATATATATATATAAATAATTAAATCATTAATGAATAAACAGAAAGGAAAAACTATAACATTTCTAAATGCATCCTGGGTTATAAATAGTTCTTACTACTACCTAGTTGACAAACAAACCCAAATCTGACCATATGCAGCATATACTCATAAAAAATTAGTGACGTCCCACTCAAAATTGAGACCTGGGCGTTATCTAGTTTGCAACTGGAAAATCCAATATAGTTCCCAATTGCACACGCACTTAAACAGGTCACCCCCTCTCTTTGGACACCTCACTCTTTCACTCAGTCAGAATCTGAATAGCCATGAGATCCCCACCCTGATACTAATTAAGGTGCTTGGCAACATTAGTCAAATTATTGTTTTCAGTATCATACACATGGTTATGGAGGCGGTCTCAGAGCCTCCTAGTGGTTCGGCCAACATATTAAATCTGACAAATACCATGAGTAATAATGCATAATTCAAATTTCGTATTACAATTCACAAAGGAGATGAGGATGTCTACCCCCAGAGCCAGCATCAGAAAAGTCTAGAATGGCAGTTCCCATATCTATTTCCTGATACTTTCTAGAACTGAGAAACAATTATATTGCGCTTTGTTAACCACTTCCTGTCTGGACATTTTTTACCCCTTCCTGTCCAGGGCAATTTTCAGCTTTTAGTGCTATCACACTTTGAATGACAATTGCATGGTCATGCAAAACTGTACCCATATGAATTTTTTACCATTTTTTTGAGACAGATAAAGCTTTATTTTGGTGGTATTTATTCACCGCTGGGATTTTTATTTTTTTTGCTATGTAAATGAAAAAGTCCAAAAATTTTAAAAAAAAAAGTGTTTTTCTGATAAAATTTAGCAAATAAATAATCTTTCATCATAAATCTTGGCCGAAATGTATTTCGTTATCTTTTTAGTAAAAAAAAACAAAAAAGCAAAATTAGTTTATAACCAAAAATTATAATTTTTAAACATTTTTTTACATTGTTATTTTTTTTTTTTATATTATTATTTATGTTTTTTTTGTTTTTTTACATACTGTCACCCTAGCAGTACAGTGTCACCATGGTGACACTGTACTACTTTTGGGGGGTGATGAAGATTTTTTTTTTTCTTTTTACAGTGATTGCTTTTACACCCATATAGGATTTAAAAGCAATCATTTCTCCTTCTCTCTGTCTGCATTATTGCAGCCATTGAGAAATACTGAGTGAGCTGTGATTGGTCACAGCTTGTCACATGGTACAAGGCTGTTGTGAATAGCCTTGTACCATGTGACCCTCTGTGACCATTCACAGATTTCACACGTAGTAAGCAATGATGTCACAAGTGACATCTTGCTTACTACTTTGCATGTGATCACTGATTGGCCAATCAGTGATCACATGATCGGGATCTCGTCCGACGATCGGTGTTTCACCGTGTCCGGAGGACACAGCGGGCACCGGATCGCGGTGCTGTGCGCTCCCAGGGAGCGCACAGCTAGAAATGGCGGGTGCCGTTTATGAACGGCAACCCACCCCTGGAGTGCCACCAGCCTGCCGTTTATAAACAGCAGGCGGACGGCAAGTGGTTAAACATAACTGTTCTAATATCTGGAATCACATGAGGCAGATGTCCCAAGGCTTAGTTTGCTAAGGTATTATTTGAAATGCCAGCCAATACTTTTTTATTAGTTTTGAATAGCACACACATATGTAGCACTGCCCCTTGGGACAAGCTGGAAATATATTATGGGTCCTGCGCTCAATAGATCCAACCCTAAGCAAACCCAATCCCTCTGGCACAACTGGTAATGAATAGCAAATACCCCGCCAAGAAATTTGCTGACACAGGGTTAAATGAAACAAGAACAATTTTATGGAGAATGAAATGCAGTGTAGAGGGGTGGGGTTCCCCTTTCAACTTCAAAACTTACTTTTCTTCTTTTATGCAATGCAGTAAATTTGGTCTGCCACTAGAGGGCTTCACAGCCAAGAGTCTCCGGATGGCAGAGTTGCACTTTAAGCAGAATACAACTAATATCAAACAAATAAACTTACTTATACTCTATCAATGAAATGTATTACCCACACCGGTGTATGATTCTGCTTCTGAGGGGCGTTAGCCAAAAATCACCTCAGAGTCAGAACAAAATGCAATAAAGAGGTACCTCTAATAAGGCTACTAAGCCAGATTCCCCCACTCTAGTCCTTGTAACGGTGGAGCTCTAGTTGGTGCACGTTTAGTCCTTACAATGAAGTAAATAGCAGCTGAAGGCTTCTTTGGAGTTTCAGCTGGTGTGGGTTACATCCAATTTCACTAGGTTTCTGGGCTGAGAGGGTCCAACCTCAGTGTCTAAACGCAACACAAAGCACCCCAAGACCAGGGGCAGTCGCAGGATGCAATCTCCCAGTATGTGTCAGTCCTCGGGGCAGACAGTCTCAATTACACTGGTGTGTGAGGGGCAAAGCAGGCAGAGGGATCTGTGGCTTACACAGGGCCCCGGATGGGTGAGATCCCAGCAGTGGGGTGCGGATGTCCCAGTCTATATGCAAAGTGTAAATGGTGTGTCTTACTCTCTCCAGGGGGACAGCTCACCAGACTCTGAACACACAGCAGGGTCCCTCTATCCGCGCTGGGTGCTGTAGTGCCCCCTCCTCTGCTTGGACGGGCTCCACATGTCCCTGTCTTTTCTCCAGCCTCCTGTCTCTCTGTTCTCCCCTTCACTTCCTGCTTCCTCCCCCTCCCAGCGTTCTTTGCTGTGTAGTGGATGAGTCATGAACTTGGCAGAATGCCCAGGTTTTACAAATAGGGGAGAGGAAGGACTGACTGCTGAACATGTGATTCCTTCTGAATCCTCTTGTACAAGGAGCCTGCTACACATAGGTTGGATCCTCTGATGTTTTTACTGCTTCCTGTGAGATCCGATGGCAGAGGAGGCAACTCACTGTAGCAACAATCACAGGTAAATCTAGTGATAATCCAGGCTCAGCTGTGCTTTCTCATGGCTCACTAGGTCTCTTTGCTCCAGGGCATGAACCCTCCAACAGCATCAGTGGTCACAGGCAGGTACAAAAGATTGTTTCTAATCAAGTAAATCAGAGTTATGCAGGTCATGCATGGTTCGAATTCTGAACGATTTTTTCGTCTGAAAATCGGAAACATCGCTCGGTAATCCGATGGTGCCATTATTGATTTCGAAAATCAGTGGACCAAGTCATCAAGTTCACCCCATATAGCATGCAAAACTTTTGTTCCTTCCAAGTCACGGCTCATGCGCATATTCTTTTTGTAAAAAACAACTGTACGATTTGACCATCATTGAGTCGTTCGTTTTTTTCACACATTTTCTAACATGCCCGATCATCGAAAAGGGGAGGAACCACGAAAATCAGCCAGTGCCATTGACCCACTAACAGAGCGAAAATCGGCTGATTACTCTTAGGTCCGATTTTCAGACGAAAAATCAGTCAATTTTCAACCCATGTATGGCCGGCCTTAGTACTGGCACTCCCCTGTGTCACCAACCTCATTAAAGTCCACAGGTTCAGCAACACACCTGCAGCTGCACAGCACCGCTCTCGCCTTCTCTCTACATGAGCCAAGCTCCTGGCTTTCCAGTCGTTTTCCTCTGGCCAGTTCTGCTGGGACTTGTAGTCCTACACATCCTCCTTAGTGCAAAGTATTAAGATGGGGACTACATTCCCCACAAGCCCCTGCAGTGAATGACCTTGCTGCTCCTCACTGCTGCTCAGCAGCCAATCACTGTGTCTCTTTGTCACAGGCTGGGGGTGGGACTTTCTTCGGGTGGTTGCAGGTGCAGTGCCTGTGTGTTCTCTCCCTCTTCCTGTACAGCCTCACCATACATTCACAGCAGATGAGAGGGGAATGACAGCTACACTGAAGCAGTGTGTGGGCGGCTGTGTGTGACAACCCATGTTGTGCGGCTCCCATGACAGCAATGCCGCAGTTAGGGCTACATAACCAGAACAGCTGTTCTCTGTGGGAAATTTCCTCGCATGGCCTGTTTAGATGACAATTGACATATTTTGGCCTTCCCCTTGCTTTAAGACTGCATTAGAACAGGAAGTGAGGATATATCTCCACAACAGAGACATAGACGGCAATAGTAACCTGACAAAGGTGCCAACTCTTTCCAATTAT